CCATTGATTTTTGTTTAAGTAAAAGTTTTTGGAAAAAAAAACGCTACGAACTTATTCCCCAACCTAATATATACACCGGGAAAAATCGCGCCCCTCGACGGCCTCCCTTCCCGGAGCAAGTAATTAGGCGTCCTAGGTGGAACCTAACACCTTCCGTGCTAATCGATGACTCCGTCCATTTCTTCGGCTACTGTCTACTCGCAGACTGTGCAAGGCCAGGCAACGGATGTGCGAACCCACGACAAAAAAGAATGAAGAGGATGAAAACGGCATTATGCTTCTTTAGAATAACATATGTTCAATTTAAAATTAAGTAGTAATGAAAAGAGGTTTGAGCGCTATGTAGAACTGTACATTATACAAATAAATCGTAAAGTCGGCTTTGGTTAGTAAGCAACCATATAGCAAAATGATTTTTTTACTGATTTATGAATCCTTACCATAACTCTGATTAGTGGAAATTCTATGGAAAAAGTCGCACGAACTCATTCAATATCTCTATATCATATCTATTGTCACCATTTCAAGAAAGGCAGCACTGGCAAAGTTTCGAATTATCATTAGGGTTAGAGAGCGGAGAATTAATTCAAATTTTTTCTCAAAATTTATTTTTGTAAAAAGCTAGTGAAGCGGAGTTTGTTGCAAATAATAAAAAAAGCTCACACTATTTACCAAGCATCTCTCAACTTTTGTCTGAGAATATGAAGATTTGATGCCATGTTCATCAAATCTAGTACCCAGCGCTGATATGAACGATATTGGGAGAATTCAAGCTTTTGATATAGAGAATATGCAGCCTTACTATGCTGTGATGTTATGAGCATGAGTTGTCGCCTCGATGTATCGTATAAAGCGGAGTTAGAGGATAGAACGGATTTTTAAAGAAACAACAACAAGAAGATAGATAATTGGTATATTGATCGACTTAGAATTTGGTGCTTGGATGGTGTTAAATTCCCCCAGGACGTCTCATTATTAGCTCCGAGGAAAAGCGGTGAGGGGGAACTCCTGCTACGCTGCCCGGTTAGGAATGTGATTGATGATAATCAGTCGCATGTGGAAATTAGCCTTGAGTTGCCTTGTAAAGAAGCTTTGGCACAAAAAATCCATCAGCTTCAAAGCCATCTACAATTCGCCAGTGTCCTTAGCAAACGAGGAGGAAGGGTTTGCAGCAACGTACCCTATTCAAAATGCCAATAATTACGTAGTTATCCACCCAATTTGGCCATCATATCAGAAGCCTACGACTTAACTGCGAGTTAGCGATCATTGTAACTGCATGTCAAGCAGATTATTATCGTCCCATATTATTAGAATTCAAACGTATCAGACCATTCAAAATTTCGATTTCGATTGACTTTTGTATTAAATAGATTATAAAGAATCATCAACATGCACATATTCTGTTATGGAATGGATTGTTACTCGGGGATTTTCAAATGTCAATTCTTAGTTGACCTACCTACAACTATTTCAGTGTCTTTGCAGTTTAGCGTTGCATTCGTTCCATCGGGGAAGTAGCCATTCTTTTTGACGAATAAAGAATGTCAGAATCAGAACTGGCAAAAGTCCGCATTTGTCGTCTTGAGAGCAAATCTTCTTCATATTCAGGAACATTTGAATTACTCTAAAAAGGGTTTTTACCAATAATTGCATTAGGACAGGTACCCATCTGTCGTGGAAACCAACCATTCGAAAAGCACGTGGAAAAGAAGATGCCTGTAAGAGAAGCCAATGTGATTATTTTTCCGGATGTCTCCTCTTTCAAAACATCTCAGAAAGGACGAAATTAAGTTAGCCTACCATTGACCTGTTCCCCATTGATGCACTTCATGATGGCTGTGCTCCATATGTTTATGTTAGTCTTATTCCGCCCATATTCAACGATCGCACCATTGGGAACGGAAATAAAGGACATGCTAAAGTTCTCAAATAAGGTAGTGCGATGCACTAACAAGCAAAGTGGCGCACAAGTTTGCTCTTCCTCTCGAACTCAAAAATTTCAAGAAATAAGCAGTAAAACAATAGTAAAACCTTCCAATGTTTCTATGCTAATTGTATTAATAAGCCAGAAATGAAATTTAGCCTACTTTTGTCTTTAGCATTACATGTTCCCAAGGTACGAGGGATCCACCGTCCGCCTATGCAAGTAGCAGCTGATGCTCCTAAACAACAGCTACTTACTTCTGTAAGGATGATACAGAGCCGTTTTCTCTTTCCAGGCATAATTCCGTCATGCATAAGCTGTTTCTATATAATTTGCCTCAATCAAAACTGACTTGCCATCTGATTACTGCACATTCATCACCATATTCTGTTCATATTACACCATTATCAATATCCTTAAACATATAAAGCTGGATAACACTGTTCTAATTAGCTGCACTTAGAGCAAATTTTTTGAGCAGGATGTAGATTCGTAGATACTTGATTTAAAATAATTGCGAAAAATTGGATTTTTTCCATTAAATCACTTCTGTGCATAAATAAATATTTGCACAAGATCAGCACACTGCTAGTCCGCGACATACCAAATATACTGCACCTAGCCGAAGTGCTACTTCGAAGCGCTCTCTTAATCGTACTTCAATGAGTTTTCATCTACGTAAAATGGCCCTAACCTCGGGGTAATATAGCAAAGCCTCGCATGCCGTATTTGTTTAAAGCGCTTGTGACGTTTTGCTTAATGTGAAGAAGAGTGGCTTTGTGATACCTTATCTATGATCGTATATTAAATATAAAGTGATGCGAGCCACTAATAAAGTCTACTACTCTTAGAATTAGGCGGATTTCAGTGATGCAACATCCATGCGTACACGTTGAAGTCCCCACATTAGCCGAGAACATTTTTGACAAGTGCATCACTGAGTTAATAACCGAGATCAATTTTCCACAATATGTTTGTCGAAAACTACAGAACATCAAGTTGAAGTGGACGCATGAATGAAAAGTGTGTGGCTATTTGCAATATTGTGCGCTCAACAGATAAGAAATTTTTACAGTCACTCCCTATGCAAAAAAGTATAACTGCTTGATGCACATGAAATCCTAGTTAACGAAATCATTACATCTTTTAATTAGTGTCATTCTCAGTTCTCATGGCATCTCCTTGCTTTGAAACAATTTCCACACTTGCCGAGAAATAGTCTGTACCAATTTTTGGTAACAGCTAACAGTGCTCGTATTTCAGAGTTAAATGCATTTGTCACTTTAATGATCGCCCCTCGCAAGGTCAGCCACTCCCCTGCCATTTTCTTCCTTTAGGCTATTTATTAAAAGCTGGTTATGTGCGATGTATGTAAGTAAGAATCTCGACATTGAATGCAGGGATGAATTTAAAGTAAGAAACATGGGGAAGGAATTGTGTATGTAGTATATTTTTGGGGAAAGGCTTCTGTAATTGCTATATTGAAGATCCTTGACTGCTTTGAAGTGTGTGTGATGTAACTTGCCCACAATAAAATCGGAATTTCTACATTCCAGCGTTGCATTGGTTCCCTCTGCATAATGGCCTTTTGTCATGTTTGAAGAATAATAAATTACGGAATCAGATCTCGCCGACATGCTCAGGCAACCACTATCTAAAAATGACCTCTTTCTTATCGTCAATCGTATCCACTCCTCATTGACAATGACCTCTTACGGTTGCTCTAATCGGGCACCATCCAAGCTCATATGGAACCCAACCTCCAGTAGTACAAGTGGAGTGAAAGCCTCCTGTTAGGCTAATCAGAGATCAGGATTAGGAGAGGTTGCTTTGAGCTTACCTACGACTTGCTGTCCGTTTAAACACTTGATGGCCGCCACCGTCCATCGAGTTATGTTTGTTCCATTCGGACTGTACATAATTTTCCCTCCAGCGGGAACAGGGAAAGGAGGACATATCGACGCAAAATCTGAGAATATTTTACTAGATGTTTCCGACCCAAACTATCTGTAAATTTAGAAATAATTTATTGTACCGGTTCCATTGAGACAAGATCCCAAAATGCGTGGTACCCATCCGTTAGGATAACATATGGAGAAAGAGTTACCTTGAAAATAATGTTTAATAGACTAGTCCACTTAGACCGCATTCTATCCATAGTAAACATACATAAGGAAAACATAAAACGGTAAAACATATCCATAAATTTTGTACTTACCGACAACTTGTCTTCCATTAAGGCATGTCAAAGAAACCATAGTCCAAAGACCTATGTCTACACTCGGATAATAGCTGAGAACACCTCCGCTAGGTTTGTTAAATAACGGACAGGCTGAGCCTGAAAATGAGAATCTAAGTCGCATCAATTATTAAAATAATTATCAATCTTTACTTTTGTATCGTTTCTTGCTAGGACATTATACTGTTTCCTGGTTAAATCATTCCATAGGCAATACTCAGGCGGATTGGTCATGTTCACATCACATAAACCTACGTGGTGACAGCTGCTTTCGTGCAGGCTTCAGCTCCCATAATATTAATGCATATCAGGGTTAAACATGCGTCCATAGCTCATGCGTAAAAGGATGCACAATTTGAGGATTTAAAGTCTCTATCGTCCACAGCAAGAAGTTGTACATACCAACAGTAAATGCTAGTGGCGCCAATTATGGAAGCTACCAATGCATTTCTCTCGAAAGAGAAGAACAAAATGAGTGGAATTATGACTCTCGCTACCAGATTCACAATAAATGTCAGTAGTTTTCACACTAACTGAAAAGGTTATAATTAGAAAAAAAGCGACTTTTCTAATGCAAAAAGTAGAGCTTTCTTGAACAGATCCATAAAGAATAAAAGGAGGGAAAGTCATGCCAAAAACCAGTTAAAAAAGCTTATGACGGTGATGATCTCACACAGATATTGACATAATCCGGCGCTATGACTTCACATTCGGAACACCAAAAATATCGCAAAAAGAATTCACTAGTACAGACGAAGATTAGGTATCATAGTACGCTACAGTTGCACTCTAATTTATTGGTTTTCGGCTATGCTAACATCTATGAGGAGCTTTAGACCAGGTGGACTTTATGAACGATAGCTCCATTTGACAGCCGTG